CCACTCACCTCAGCCTCCCAAAGGTGCAGGATTACAGGCTGAGCCACCAAGCCTGGCTATATTTATACTCTTAATTGTGCTCTACTTAACTCCCTTTGTATGGAAGTGTATCATCTTTGCATAATGCCAGAATGAATGAGGATGGTGTAGGACTGTTCAAATCTTTTTCAGGGGCACAGTAAACAAAGGAGATGAGGTTTCTATATGATGATGTCTAATGTAACAACCACAGGTGGTTCCATTTAAAAATAGCCCCTTCTGTGAGAATGGCACAATTAGGCTCTATCACTCACTCCCTTCTACTTTGGGTTAAAGGCAGTCCTGTACCCCCAGCCCACCAGCTCAAGGGGAGGGGCCAGCCTTGTACCTCTTGTTCCTATGGGTCCTCTTCACAATCAGTATCAGAACAGGGAGCAGCAGGATAGTGCCACAGACGATGCCCACAATGATCACCAACTGATTGCCACCCAGGACCATGGGGGGAATGGCTGCTGGGGTCACCAATGCTTAGGAAAAGAGAAAAGCAAGGAGAGGGTCTTAATACTTCAGGAAAGAGCTGAGAACCCCACCGAGTAGCAACAGCCAGGTCAGAGGCAGGGAGAGAAGGCCAGACTCCATCCCATATCAAGACACTGGGGACACTGTCATTAGATGGACAGCCAAAGTCTGACCCACTTGCTTACCCCTAAAACGTGGATTACAATGGGTGGGAGAACAGGTTAGCACTTCATTTATAATACAGTTTCCTTCCACAGGAACAATTCTAATTTAAAATTTGGTTTACCAAATGACCTAGCTACAAAAGGCATTTTAGAGGCTGCCGATCTTCCTATGGGCAAGTAATTCTTTTCAAAAAAAACACACGCACAACACTCATGACACCAAGGAAGGCCTTTGGAGGCATATGGTGCCCTCCACTCATCTCCTTGATTCATTCTAAATACATATACAAAATACCTCCTTGGTGCCAAACAACACTAGGCACAGAGGATTCAAAGACAAATGATGCATGATTCCTGCCTCCAAAGAGGGAGACAAACATGTAAACAGAAAACCATAGACTACTGTAGGTGCTATGACAGAAGTTTCTGTGGGGTCCAGAGGTCACAGAGAAAAAAAAAAAGGTGTCCAATTCTATGTGGAGCAGAAGATGTGAATTTGCCAGCAAAAGTTTTAAAGTTTAACCTGATTCTTAAAGGAAACGTTCAGTTTTGGGGGGCAGGCAATATGGGGAAGAGAGAGACGATAATCTACACAAGGTGTGGAGGCCTGACAGGATGGTGCTTTTAGGAGCCAGAAGTAGCTTGGTGGGTCTAGCACAAAGGCTGCATCTGTGGGTGTGGTGGGGAGTGAGGTTGGACAGATGGTAGGGTCTAAGTCAGGAAGCACCTTGATGATCTCAACCAAGAGTCTGCAGGCAGTAAAAGCCATCGAAAGATAAGCATTGGAAAAGAAAGTTCTGAGTTGCAATGTAGAAAGATGGCACTGAGAGCCATGAAGAATGACCTGAAGAATGAAAGGCAGTGGCTGAGAGTAGAAACAGAGACTGGTTAGAGGACTGCAGACCAAGACAGAGATGGAGATGGTCAGAACTAAGGCCATGGTGATGGTCTGGCAGGAAGACAGCTCCAGGTGTCTGTAGTAGGAATGACCGGACTTGTTGACCTGTTAGACTAGGGGTCATAGGAAAGGAAAGAATCAATGACACCCTCAGGCATTCAGTTAGAAAACTGCTTAGAGCTGGTGCATTAGCTGAGGTTGGAGAGATAAGCTGGGGAGAGGTGTGCAGTGGTAGGTTTGGTCATGTTGTATTTGAAGAATTTGTGTGGGGTTGGCATGTTGAAATATATATGTATTCCAACATAGAATGCATATAGGATACAGTACTCAGTACTGCTAAGGTAGAGAAGACTGAGGTGATCCAAGTTTCAGTAGAGATAGAAAAAGTCAGAATGTAGAAGTTAATGGAAGGTGAGACAGTAAGACACCAAGCACAGCCTTAGCATGTCCTTTGACTGTATTGAGAAGGAAATGCAGAATTGATTGTGATGATAGTTGTATAACTCTGAATATACAAAAACCACTGAGTTGTCCACTTTAAATGGATGAATTGTATGGTATGTGAATTATATCTCAGGAAGACTATTTTAAGAAAAAGAAAAAACTAAGATAAGAGCTGAAGCAGATAAGGATGCAGGTAAGAGGAAGAATTGAGCAAAGGTATCCGCTGAATGATAGAAGCCAACAGAGAATGAGAACTTCAGAAGCCATGTTGTGAGAGAAGAAAGACGCTCTTTTGCCTCAGGATGTCAGGCAGAGATAAAAATGGAGGCACATTGAGGTATGTCTGTAGGTGGAGAAGTTGGCTGAACCCTCATCACGGCTTGTTTTGTCTGTAAAGCAGAAGGAAGGTGTCTGAGAGTGAAGCTTTAAGGAATCCACCTGTCCTGCTTCTCTCTCCTGCTGGGACCCCTTGCCATGAACAAGAAGTCTCTGGCCTGAGGTATTGAGGTTACTCCCATCTCCCCTGCCCCCAGACAGCAATAGGCAACTCCCAGAAGCCCCAGCGAAAGGCAAAGTCCACAGGCCACAACCTGACTGCTAAATGGGTAATGGTTTAATTTCAACCCCTCACTTATCAACCTTTCTTGGTCAATGCAATTGAGTCTTTATTCTCCTACACGCCACTGGCCTCAATGTATACCGTTCGCCAGAATATAAAACCTTTAATCAGAAAACCCCTACAACTTTGGTTCCTCCCTGTTTTCTCTCATGCCATCTTTCACTAGCTCAGAATCATTTTCCCTTTCCTTATAAAGTATCTCCCTTGAAGCCAAGCAAGATGACTTTGGACATCAACTCCAATACAGCTCAGCTCCTGCCTTCACATTACTAGACCACACTGGCAATGAGTCGGGCTGGCAGAGGGCTGGTGTTCACTAAATATTAGCTCCCCCTTCCTTGGCCTAGCACAGGGCTGTTGGAGACCACTGCCCTGCTTGAACTCTGCTGAAAACATACTTGGCATATGTGCAAAGTCACAACCAGTCAAGAATTCCTATAATGGCAAAGCCAGAGAGGCACGTATGCTGAGGCAAGTTCTAAAAGTGCAGTGTCTGCTGTGCTAGAATAGATAAAAAGTTATACATTGTCTTGCAAGCAGCTGCACTACATTTTGCAGTCACACTTTATAATAAAAGCTTTTTAAGATCAAAATGGGGAATTTTCTTTGCACTGTCTATACTTTGTCCTTGAATGCTTACTCAACTATGTCATTGTGTACTAATAAAAGTCTTATGGGTAAGAAACCCGAGGCCTTTGTCCTGTGAGGCAAAGTGCCCCCTGGTTCCCCCACCTTCTAGTTCTAAAAAGTGTCTTGTGAATTGTGTTATACCACGCCGTTCCTCTTTCAGGACCCTTTACCACCCAGCTGCGCAGGATGCAGCACAGGGCCAGAACTAGGATGAGACAAGCCAGGTGCCTAAGGAGCCAAATCGAAGGAAGCATCACTCTCAGGGTCCTGAAGGTACAGGGTCAGCACCTGAGACTGAGGTCTCCTTCCATTTTGCATCCTAGGAGCCTCTCTGGCCTCACTCTAGCCCTGGCCCTGCATACCAGCGGGAAGGTCCCTCAACCCTCCCCAACCAAATGTTAGATACTTTGCGCCTCTTTCAGGATCACACTCAGCACAACAGTTTTCTTGAACACGAGGTTCCCTAGGTAGATACTGCAGGTATAGATTCCTCTGTCAGACTCCTTCACTCCTTGAAGCATGATGGAACCATCATTGCGGGAAATGTCCCCCACTAGGTTTATGCGGTTCTGGAAGCGCCCCCAGGTCTGGGGGTATCCCATAGGTGACTTGAGTTTGGAGTGATAGTGGAACACAGTCTCCTCCTAGAAGGGAAAAGCAAAAAAATGCATGAGATAGTGAGGGGCCAGGGGTAGGGGGGAAGGAGGAGGGGAGATCTCAGGACTCATAAGGCCCTATTATGTGAAGATAGGAAAGGTATAATCAGAAAGTATTAGATAACACAGTCACGTACACACAGTGCATGAATGCATGTTTTCATGTGAAGGACATCACCAAACCGTGAACGGTCAGTTGTTCATCCGAAGAGAGGGGTGAGAAAGTGAGAATGAGGAGCTTTTACTCTTTATACTGCTCCAGTAAAAAAAGCCAAAGCATATTTCTATTTTTTAATGATGTTTCCAGTTGGACTTCTAATAGGCACCTAAAAGGGAGCTCCTAATTTTCTTCCCAGACCAGCTCCTTCCAGTTCATCCCCTTTTGGTAAAAGGCAATGGCTTCTTCCAGAAGCTCAGGTTAAAAATATTAGAGCCACTCTTAACCTCTCTCTTTCTTTCTTGAAAAAAACTCTCTTTCTTGAAAAAAACTCACATCGAACCCCTTAGCAGACCCTATCACCTCTACCTTCAGAGTAGACCCCAAGTCCAGCCACTTTTCATTTCCTGTGCTGCTACCATTCTGGACTGACCGCCTCGTCTCTCCCCTGGATTCCTCACTGGTTCCTCTACTTGTCTCCCTGAAGACTCTCCACTTCAATCTAGTATCAGCAGATGAGGCTTTAGCAACGTAAGTGAAACCATCTTACTCCCTTCTCAAAACCCTTCAACAGTCCCCATTTCAACTCAAAGTGCCAGGCCCACCATGATCTGCCCCAATAACCTTTTTCTCTCATTGTTTTCTCTCTTCTCTTCCCTCATCTACTTGAGTCACTTTATTCCAGCGTCACCAGAGGCCTCCTCCTCGTTGCTCCTTGAATAACAGCCTCATGGCCTTTACACTTGCTATTTCCTGTGACAGGAACACTCTTCCCCACCCCGCCCCCCACATACACAGTGTTCCCCTCTAAGTTCTTTCAGACCTCTGCTCAAATGTCACCTTTTCAGTGAGGCCTCCCTGACCACCTATATAAAATAACAACCACAAAGCCATGCTTTATTGTTTTCCATACTCTTACAAACACCTCACAAGTTATATATTTATTTCTTCTATTATATCTCTCTTCATTTTGATTGTAAGTCCCCCCTCAGGACAGGGGCTTTGAGTAATCATCACACAGCAGATGCTTACAAAATACTTGTTAAATGAATGAGTGTTGAAATTTTCTATAAACTATGTAGATTTTTTTTTTAAAGCTTTTAAGAAAAAGTAGTGGGTATGCAAACATAAACACAAATGGAGTGAACTGGCCTCTAACATTTGTCTCTTGTGATTCAAAGTCACAACCTCAAAATGTCAACTCTCATCCTGTTTCCCACTGTGAACCACTTTACGGATGACATTAAAATGCGTGACAGGACCAGGTGTAGTGGCTCACACCTGTAATCCCAGCACTTTGGGAGGCCAAGGCATCGGAGGATCACTTGAGGCCAGGAATTTGAGATGAGACTAGGCAACACAGACTTCATCTCTATAAAAAAAAAAAAATCAAAAAAATTAGCCAGGCATGGTGGTGTGTGCCTATAGTCCCAGCTACTCAGGAGGCTGAGGCAAAAAGATCACTTGAGCCCAGGAAGTCAGGGCTGCAATGAACTGGGATTGTGCCACTGCTCTCTAGCCTGGGCAACAGACTTTTTTTTGAAACCCTGTCTCAAAAAAAAAAAGAAAGCATGACAAGCTCTCAGGAGTAAACCTGATTCCTCATACTTTATTATGAGCCCACTTTTTCTGACTTACTCATACAGCAAGTAGGAATCAAGTGAGTACAAATAATTTTGTTAGAGGGATGACCTGGAATGTGTTTTAATTTGTAAAAGTTAAATTTTTTATAAACTTTACACCTTAACTTTTATTAATAACAAGTTACCTGGGATATCCCTCACAACACATCTTGATCCGTAAATACATGACCACATCATGGTTGAAATCTACTGGTCTAGTGAACTCACTTGCTGTTTACTGTTTTTCAGAGTTTCCATGAAATACCCCTTACCCTGTCACCCCAGGATCAATCCCAAAGTATGAGGTACTCGTGAAGACAAAGAAAATTCCCTCCATCACATAAACGGGGTAATAAAGCACAGACAGAAACTCGGAAAAATAACCCAAATAAGAATAAGAATGCAATCATTCTTATGCCTGGCCCCTTGCTTTCCTGACTAGGTCACCAAAATCATTTCCTTTGCTCTCCCTCGGACTCTATGAAGAGAAGGGAGAAAGAAGGAAACTGAAAGGCAGTGATCAAGTCACATACAAAATGCTTTACATATACAATCTCATATCAGCATCTAGACTAAAACCATCATCATCTTCATCTGCATCACAGGCATCTTTCCCACCAGAAAGCTGAAGTTGCCCAGCCAAGTGACTTAGCTCAGTTCTGACAAGCTCCAAAGCCCAGGCTCTTGCAGCACCACCCTTCTTGGGGCACCTGAAGCCTGATTCTCTCCCCAGCTCCTTCTGACATCATCAGCCAGCGGCTTCACCTACACAGTGATGTTTCCTCCTCATTACCTTGGCACGCTCTCCTGATGAGAACATCCAGTTTATCTTGGTCACGTGTTTCTCTTCTGTGCTCTGGAAAACACATTTTATCGGAATCGAGTCGCCCACATGGACTGTTAGCTCTGAGGATAAAACAGTAAATCAAGTCAGACCCAAAGAGTAATTTACAGAAGTCAAATAGTTTCTAGAAGAGATCGTGTTTAGCCAAAAACCCTCAGCAGCAAAAGTCACTGTCACCACCACCAGGCACTATGTATATATATTCCTTCCATAGATGATCTGGATGATTCCATGTGGAAATAGTACTCAGAGGCCCCTCACTCTAACAAATGTGGCATCATCCCCGAGGGTTAGAGAATACCCCCTAACTGCCCACATATGCCAAGCCTGAGGGTTTCTGCAGTCTTCATACTGCAGTAAACACTTTCTGGTCCCCTTTAATTCCCTTCTCTGTCCTCTTTTCCAGAATTCCTCCTATAAACTCCAACTCCACGTCAAGTTTATACTAAAGGAAATATGAAAAATCTCAAAGCCCCCAGTTTCTGTTTGTCAACTTAGATACCCATATCTGCTTAGCATAAACAGGAAGTGGAAAGTTATAAAACCCTCATTCTTATATATAACCCACCGGTTCTCCCAACTGAAAAAATGAATCATGGGTAACGTTGACTTCTTTTAATATTTTTCTTTTAGTCTTTTGTTCTAGGACTTAGTTCTGGCTTCAGTACAGGTCACAGGACTCCTTGCTAATTAGGCCAAGAGAGTAGACAGCTTTCCCCCTGACTTTTCTTTCTAATCCTGCCCCACCAATCCCACTTGACCCCTTCCCCTGCCCCTGCTTCTGGCTTTCCAACTCCTATTGTATAAGCAGCTGACCCACCATATGTTTATTGCATAAGTTATTTTAAGAGACCTCAGGGGAAAAAAATAGGTAGATGTTTCTGATGTTTTTAGTAATGCTCTACACAAATCAATCAGAAAGATGATTATGAAATGAAAGGCAGGATAGTATGTAGGGAGACACAAGCCTAGGTCTTAAGTGCACAGAGTTCCTTCAAAAAAAGCATTATACAAAACTCAGGAGGGAACAGAGTGCATATGCCAACTTTTCATCCAGACTGTTTCCCTGGGAGAACATTAACTCCTTGCCTAGCAGGAGAAATGTACAATGGGAGGAAAGCAAAAGAAAATATTATGAACACTAAGCTCTATGGAGGGAATTATTTTGAAAATGATAAAAATTCATTCCAAAGAATACCAGTAAGGAAGGAACTCCCTGAAAAATCCATCAGCACATTAAGAACAATATTTTTCAAATGCAATGATAATAACCAAACATTTTATTTATTTATTTATTTATTTATTTATTTATTTATTTATTATTTTTGAGTTGGCGTCTCACTCTGTCACCCAGACTGGAGTGAAGTGACTGCTCCCAGCCACCGCAGCCTCGACCTGCTGGGCTCCAGCGATCCTTCCGCCTCAGCCTTCCAAGTAGCCGGAATTATAGGCATGCGCTACCACGCCCGGCTGATTTTTTGATTTTATTGTAGAGATGAGGTCTCGCTGCCCAGGCAGGTCTCGAACCCGCAGGCTCTGGCAATCCACTCACCTCAGCCTCCCAAAGGTGCGGGATTACAGGCTGAGCCACTGAGCCCGGCTATAATCAAATATTTTAAAGTCCTTTCAATGCACCAATATGTGCTAGATACCTTATACACAAGATATCAAGTTAGTCATTACAATATTTTGAAGTATGGACTACTACTCTCCCATTTTACAGAGGAGGAAAGTGAAGGAGCTTAAGGCTACATGGCCAGTAAAAGGTAGAGCCAATATTCAAAACCAGGCTTGAGTGAAAACGAAGCCCAAGTGTTTTCACTCACTGTACTGTAGCATCTCACATAAGTAGGATGACCGATTCTACGAAAAAGGAATTGAAGTAGTAGAATCATAGGAAAAAAATAAGCTAAAGGGTGAACTTTGTGGAGAAAATTATAGATGACTGCAAACATGGAGTTTCCACATGGGTGGAGACAACCTACATAAAGCCAGTTGGACAACTTTGCACTGGGCCACTAGGCCAGATTGCTAAGGGTTGGGACTGTTTTCATTATGGCTGGAAGAAAAAAACAAATACAGGTTGCTGACTACCCCTAACATTGTTCTAGACTGTTTCCATAGAGTCTTCAGCTCTTGAAATTGGCTCCACTTGGTTCCCTCTGCATCTCTTCTGGGCAGGAAAAGGCTGTTTTAAAGCAGTAGAATCCTTTCTTCAAACAACATCTTACCTAGCAGCCCAATGAAAAGACAGGAAAAAGGAAAAAAAACTTTGGTTGCAATGAAGGTGGGAGCCTGGGGTCCTATCTGAATAGGTTTTCAACCTACCCTCATCCCTGTTCTTTCCCTTTGGAGCTGAAGTGTTCTACAGAGCACAATTCTATAATCATAGCCTACTGAAGCAACACCCTCCATTTTTAAGTGGAAATATGACGTGCAAAAAGGTTAGAAAGATCTGCTCATTCTTTTTTCTTTTTTGGGTCAAGGTCTCACTCTGTCACCCAGGCTAGAGTTCAGTGGCATGATCATGACTGACCACAGTCTCAACCTCCTGAATTCAGGTGATCCTTACGCTTCAGACTCCTGAGTAGCTGAGACTACAGGCGTATGCTACCATGCCTGGCTAATTTTTTTATATTTTGTAGAGATAAGATCTTGCTGTGTTGCCCAGGCTGGTCTGGAACTTCTGGACTCAAGCAATCCTCCCACTGTGGCCTCCCAAAGTGCTGGGATTATAGGTGTGAGCCACTGCATCCAGCCCTGCTCATTTATTTTCTAATCCCCAGAGCACCTAACACAGGGTACCTAGAAACTAGGGATGTGGCACCAATGTGGATTACTAATGGGAAGAGAAGTACCAGAGAATAGGAAAAAGAACAGGAACTTTGCTGTCAGAGGCACCAGGGTTCAAGTACTGGTAATGCCATTCAATAAACATGTATCTAAAGCAAGTCATTTAACTTTTCCAAGCCTCAGTTATCTCATCTGTAATATGGAAAGAACAATATGTTCTCCACAGGTCTTTTGTGAGGAGGAAATATATTTAAGTTAATAATAAAATAATTATCATTATTTTCATAAAATAATTACTGTCATTTTTATTTATTTTTGTTTTTTGTTTTTATTTTTGAGTTGGATTCTCACTCTGTCACCCAGACTGGAGTGCAGAGGCTGCTCCCAGCCACCACAGCCTCAACTTGCTGGGCTCCGGCGATCCTTCTGCCTCAGCCTTCCAAGTAGCCGGAATTACAGGCATACGCTACCACACCCGGCTGATTTATTTGATTTATTGTAGAGATGAGGTCTCGCTGCCCAGGTGGGTCTCAAACCCGCAGGCTCAGGCAATCCACTCACCTCAGCCTCCCAAAGGTGCAGGATTACAGGCCGAGCCACCGAGCCCGGTTGTCATTTTTACTTAATAAAATAATTATTACCATTTACTTGAAGACTCACTCTGTGGTAAGTACTTAACCCAAAGGTTGGCATTGGCTCAACACAAGCAGTTCCCTTGCCCCTCGTACACTGAGGGGCTCCTTGGCCCTTCTTTGAGCAGCATTCATGTACCTTTGGGCTCCTCTGGAAGCACGTGAAGTGTCACTGCTTTTTTGAACACCAGGCTCTCCCGTTCAAGGCGAATTTCACAGGTGTAGGTTCCCTGGTCAGCCTCTTGCACATCTTGGAGCAGGAGAGAACCATCATGGTGTAATATGTCCCCCACCAAGCATGCGCGGTTCCGGAAGCGCCCCATAGGCACGCTGAGGTTGGAATAATAGTATAGTACATATTCATCCTAGAGGGCAATACAGCATTGGAGACAATCAAAAGCAGCTCCAGACCTAGGAGTCTGGATCTAGAAGACCCTGTTCTATGGAGGCAGCATAGTTATCAACATCACCATGATCAACAAACACTTGGAGACTGGACACAGTGGCTCACACCTGAAATCGCAGCACTTTGGAAGGCTGAGGTGGGAGGATTGCTTGAGCCTAGGAGTTCGAGACTAGCCTGGGCAACATAGCAAGACCTTATCTCTACAGAAAAATTAAAACAATTAGCCTGGCATGGTGGAGTACATCTGTAGTCCCATCTGCTCAGGAGGCTGAGGTGGGAGGATTACCTGAACCCAGAATGTCAAGGCTGTGGTGAGCCATGATTGTGTCACTGTACTTCAGCTTGGGTGACAGAGTGAGACCCTGATTTAAAAAAAAAAAAATGTGGTATCCAGGTAATAATAATAATAATAATAATAATAATAATGTGCGAGACAGTAGTCTAACTTGCCAGGGCTCTGTGACTCACTTTCTACAAAGACAAATGGAGAAATATGGCCCACACATTTTTATTTCTTGCAGTTTCCAAGTAAAATTTAAGTCCTATTCTGAAGATCACTCTGGAGTTTCAAATTCACAACTTTTGAAAACCACCCATCATTTTCACCCTGTTTTCTGCCATAGCTCCACATTAGATGGCATGCGTGGTGGGCAATGTTGGTGTGAGAATTCCTGGCATGGCCTGCTGGCTGCCACCCTTCTCATGTCTGCCTCTTTCTGGCAGCAGTATCATACAACAAAAGAAAAAAAAGGAGTCATCAACAGGAAATGGTTCCAGGCTAGAAGAGGGAACCCTGGGAAATTCTTATTTCTATTTACACCATGGGTCTACACCATGAGAAAACTTTGAGTGAGAACAAATTATCCAATTATAGGGATAATATGGAATATGCTCTGAGCTACAACAGCAATATTCCATTTACAAACAGCAATATTCCATTTACAAACATTGGGATTTTATTGTTAGTAACAAACTACTTGGGGCTTATTTCATAAATGACCCTGACACACAAGTATCACCACGGAATATTTGATAAGACTGAATATGCTGTTTCCTACTCCAAAGACCTTCACCTAGCCAGGCTGCATTTGCTCATCCCAACAAAAAAGGAAAAAGATGATTTCCCAGTACAAAAATGGGGCAGCAGAATGCTAAAAGAATCTGTCCTCCTCCTCATCCCCAAAAGATAACTGTGGCACTGTTCCTATGTCTAGCTCAGAGCCCCCCTGTTTAGACCCTGGGGATCACCTCTCTCATTTGCCTCTGCTGCTCTACAAAGGGTAGCAGATAGAGGAGGGAAACTAAAACTTCATGAGTACATCTCCCATTAGCCCTAAACTACCTGAAAGCTAAGCATTGCCATGATTTATTTATTTTGAGTTGGAGTCTCACTCTTGTCACCCAGGCTGGAGTGCAGTGGCACGCTCACGGCCACCGCAGCCTTGACCTCCTGGGCTCAGGCAATCCTTCTGCCTCAGCCTTCCAAGTAGCTGGGACTACAGGTGCATGCCACCATGTGGCTAGTTTTTTGTGACTTATTGTCAAGACAAGGTCTCACTAAATTGCCCAGGCTGGTCTTGAACCCCTCAGGCAATCCTTTTGCCTCGGCCTCCCAAAATGCTGGGATTTCAGGCTGAGCCACCGAGCCTGCCATTATTATAATGACTTTTGTCTTCACAGATCAGGAAGCTGAAGCTCAGTGAGATTGCATAACTTGCCTAGCTGATTACGCAGTCAAGTGGCTGAGCTAGAAGGAGGTCCGGTTCTGAGAAACTCTAAGACCCAGGCTCTTGCAACACTACTCTCCTCAAAGCATCTAAAACCTGAATCTCTCTTTCCCCCACTCTGTCCTGATACCATCAGCCAGTGACTTCTACTGCACTGTGATGTTTCCTCCTCATTACCTCGGCATGATTTTCTTTTGACAGCATCCAGTCTACCTTGGTCACGTGTTTATCTTCTGTGCTCTGGAAAACACATCCCATCAGAGCCGAATCACCCACATGGACTGTTAGCTCAGGGGAGGAGACAATCAAGTCACTCAAGCCCAAGGAATAATCTATAGAAATCAAAGGCAAAAGGATATATTATTTAGACAAATACCCTCAACAACAAAAGTCAGTATACATCACCGAGTACTAAACACCTCCCTGCCTAGATGACCCAACATAGACAAAGTACTTGGAGGCCCCTCACTCAAACCAACATGGCATACCCCAGGGTAAAAGAAATGTTATCTAGTTACCTATACGGTTCAAGTCAAAAGGGTTCTGGGATCATCACTGTATAATAAATGCTACCTGGCTCCCTTCTCCTATCTAGGTCTTTCCCCTTTTCCAGAATTCTTCTTCCCAACCTTCCTAAAGAAAGAAGGGAACCCTAAAGTCTTTCCTTTCTTTCTTTCTTTTTTTTTTTTTTTTTGAGTTGGAGTGCAGTGGCCGCTCCTG